CATTCACAGGTACCGGACTCTGCAGCCCTCAGCTGCTGCCAAATATTCATTCCTTCCTTCCCTTGGCCAAGGCATGGGTGGCTGCCACGTGCCATGTGCTTTGTGTTGTCTTCTGTGTGAAGGAACAGGCTGGGGAGACAACTCCTGCCTGGGAGGGAGGGCAGGAGGGTTCGGACTTGGACATACCTTTTGAGGCAACTCTATTCAACCCATACAAGAGGCACCTCCACAGAACAGCTGGTTGATGCATGACCTAATATCTCCATCTGCTTTGGCTCAGGTGTCCCCTTCCCTAGGGAGCCAGCTACCTCTCCTTTGTGGCCCACAGCACCTGTGCCTGCCACCATCACTGTGTATTATTCCTTCAGGTAACACTGAGCACCCGTGCTATGCCAGGCACTGACAGCTGGGTCCCAGGAGTATAGCAGTTAGGGCTGCCAAATTTAGCATGTAAAATTGCCCAGTGAAATCTGAACTTCAGATCTACAGTGAATTTAAAGTTTGCCCCATGTATTGAACCTGGCAACCTGAACATAGCGGAAGAGAGAGACACAGTGTCCAAGGCAGGGAGCCTACAGCCTCATGGGGGTGACGGTGAGCACACTGGGAGACCCCAGAAAGTGTGCCCGGAGTCAGCCACGCGGAGGGAGGAGCCTTCCACAGGTCTAAGTTGGGAGCTGAAGGGTAAGCAGGCCACAGAGGAGAAACAGGGCTGCAGGCAGAGGGGCAGCATGGGCCAGAGTCCAGAGAGAGTCTGGCCTCGGAGGAGAAGGGCAAGGGTTCAGGAGCACAAGGTGGCATGTGGAGCCAGGCGCCCTGGCCAGGCCGGCAGGGGCCTAACACACTGCCCCTTAGGGAGTTTCGAACCACAGACCAAGCAGATGTGCATTTTAGAAAGACAGAGGTGTGTGGTGTCACAAGAGCCAAAGGAAGAACAGCATTTCAAGAAAGGAGTGAATACAGGGCCGGATGTTGCCGGGAGGTCCAGAAGGATGAGGGTTGACACAGAGAAGCATAGTCAGATTAGCAAAACTGCTGGAGGCTCGGGGAGGGAGGTGTAGGTGGGGCAGGAACAGAAGCCAGGAGGTAGAGACAGGGTGGGTGGCTTTTCCAAAAGCTTTTGAGTATGGAAGGGAGGTCTGAGGGTGGGCAGGAGCTGGTGAGGAGCAGAGTTGAGGCCAGGCTGGGAGGGACCCTAAGGGGTGAGCCTGGCCCTGGAGGGCCAGGGAGGAGGGTCTGGTAAATTCAGATTCTTTGGGGGAAGCCAGGGGCTCTCATCTGCCCACTGATCACGGTGTGCTGGCTGCCTCCCCAACTGTGCCCTCCCTCCCAGGCAGGAGTTGTCTCCCCAGCCTGTTCCTCCGCACAGAAGACAACATGGAGCACATGGCCCATGGCAGCCACCCATGCCTTGGCCAAGTGAAGGAAGGAATGAATATTTGGGAGCACCTGAAGGCTGCAGAGTGAGAGGAGTGGAAAGCACAGTGGTTGGGGGAGTGGCTGTGTCAGAGGACAGGGGAGGAAGAGGAGGCCAGGAAGGAGGAGGGAGGAAGAGCCCCGGGAACCCGGGGGGCCTGGGAGAGAGGGGACACTGTCCTTGTCCAGACTGTCCAGAGAGGTCAGAGAGGAGAATGGAGAAGGGGATCTCAGCCCCCTGTGTTGGGGGCTGAAGGGAGTAGACAGGAGGCAGTGCAGAAAGCCTGCTCAGCGTGGGCAGATGTTTGGCAGGAAGGGAGGGAGGGGCGGAGGGGAGGGGAGATATATTTTTGTACTGGGGGAGGGGGTTTCTTTCCTACCCCAGGCCTTGCCAGGTGTCTCACATCCCATCTCATTTAATTCTCACAACTACCCTTGGAAGAAGATGCTGCTGATGAAGATGATTGCTGTTGGTGGTCTCGCTTTATAAATACGGAAACTGACTCTCAGAGATGTTAGGCACTTTGCCTAAAGCCACGAAGTCAGTAAGTAGCAGAGAGGAGGTTTAAGCCCAGCCTGGTCTGACTCCAAAGCAGGCTCTGTCCACCACCCCATAAGACCAAGGAAGCTCTGAGCAGAGGAGACAGCTCATAACTGGGGCAGCCCCCAGGGAGAAGAATGCTGCTTTGAGGCAGGAATAAGGACATTGGCCTTATTCAGGCCTCTTGGGAGGCATGGATGATGTCACCTTCCCAAGGGACTGCTGGGCTCACCTCCCAGGCCCTGTCTGGTGTCCAGCAAATTCCAGCGGCCTGGGGGAGGGTGAACCCAAGAGTGGGGAGTGGCAGAAGGGGCAGGGCACCAGGGGATTATGGTGGTAGTCATCTGTGCACTGAAACAGCTGACCATGAAGTTCAATGTGGGTAAGGAGACAGGAAAAGCCAGAACAGGGTGGGGACTGCCCTGGGGTAGGGGTCGAGTCTCATTCCCCACCTTACCCCACTGCCTCACACTTCCCTGGCTCTGCAAATACTGTTCTGCCTGTTGAAATCTTGCCTCTTCCTCCTCCTTCAAAAGCAAGCTCAGAAATCCCCTCCTCCTACCTTGGATACCCGCCTCTTGCCCTTACCTCCTGGTCCCCGGAGTGCCGGCAACCAAAACGGATTTTCTGACTGCAGAATAGGACGTGCAGGCTGGGGATTCATTCATTGTCATCTACCTACATTCCCTCCACGGTCTCGTCTAGTCTCACAGCTTTAAATAGAACACCATCCCTACGCGGACTGCTGAAGTTTGTATCTCCAGCCTGGACCTCTCGCCTAAGCTCCGGACTTTGACTACTCCACATTTCCACAAGAACATCTAAAAGGTATCTCAAAAACCTGACATGGCCAAGACAGAATTCCCAATCTTCCCCACCCCTACATCCCAACCTGCTCCTTCCAAAGTCACAATCCACATCTCAATTGAAGTCACTCCATTTTTCCAGTAGCTCAAGCTAAAAACCTTGAAGGTATCTTGACTCTTCTCTTTCCCTCACACTCCACATCCGATCCACCAGCAAGTCCCGTTGGCTCTACCTTCTATACGCATCGGATCCTGGCACCTGCTCCCACCTCCACAGCTATCCAGCGGTGGGGGATTCATCCCTTGCCTTTCCTATAGCAGTGGCCTCTGTATGGCCCTTCCTTTGACCTTGCCCCTACAGTCATCTCAACCTAGAAGCCAGGGTGGTCCTATGAACACACAGGCCAGCCCTATTGTTCCTCCACTCAGACTCTCCAGTGGTGTCCCAGCTCGCTCTCAGTCCCAAAGCCTTTCAAAACCCACAAGCCCTAAATGATCCTCTTCTTACCTGACTTCACTTCCTACTATTCTCCTCCTGGTCCACTCTACTCCAGCCACACTGCACTTCTTGCAACTCCTCAAACATTCCAGTCACGCTCCTGCTTGGGGGTTTTGCACTTGCTGTACCTCGCTTGCACCTGCCCGGAATGCCCTTCACCGATATCCTCATGACTTGCTCCTTCAGCTCCTTCGGATCTTGACTCAAATATCACTCCATCTTTGCCTGCCCTGAGCATCCTAGTTAAAACTACAAATGCTAACCTCTCCTATCGTCTTTCCCCATTTTGTTTTCCTTCATAGAACATATATCACCAACGTACTATGTATACTGCCTATTCACTTAGTTCATTTTCTGCCTCCTTCTAGGATACAAGAACAGTGCTTTTTCTGTTTGTTATTGTTTTCTTTGCTACGTGGAACAGTGCCTAGCATACAGTAGGCATGCAATAAATGTTGCTGGGGCCACCACTGTACTGAGCACTAAAGATGGAAGGAATAATTATCAAAATCTGAAAAAGTCCACAAAACTTAGGTCTTGGGCATCAGTTCTCTAATCTTCGTGTGTACAACCTACCTGGGGAGCACTTGGGAGTGAAGACTCTGGCTCTACCCCTGGAGATTCTGGGGGAGGTCCGGGGGTCCGCACACCGCACAAACTTCCCCAGATGATTCCGGTGTGGGTCATGTGGGGTTACACTCTGGCCTGTCGGGACAGACTGAAATTAATACTGTCTGGATGCCTGATGTCTCATCTTAACAGCACCATTCACTTTTTAGCAGTGGTTACATGCCTGCCCACTCTCTAAACCGTGATGTGGCACCTTGCTCCGCCCCGTGCCCTCCCCACCCTGGGCTCAGCAGGCGTAGGTGCTAGTAAATGTTTACTGAGAGAGCGAATGAATGGAGGGTGAATGAATGGTTAGATGGATGAATGAATAACAGGACTCTAGTTGAAAAGGAATTTCAAGAGTCAGGATCTAGAGGGTGGGAACGTTTCCAAAGACTTCCGCTGTGCCCGAAGGCTAGGGAGGGGCTGGTGTTCCAGAGGTCGTGACGCAATCGGTCCTCCGGGCAGGTGGCTGTCCTTGCCGGCGGGGGAGACGCGGAGCGCGGGGACCGCCCTACCACCCACCTGGCTGCCCAGCGGCGCGCTGCGCGCGGTGGGGCGCGCAGCCTGGACCGCACGGCTGTTACCATAGCTACAGACACAGCACGGCGAGGGGGCGGGCCCGGCGCCGAGACGTCACTCCCAGAGCGACGTTCCTCTGCGCCTCCCGCCTCTTTCTGGTGCGAGACCCTCGGCCCGCCTCGGCGCGCTCCACCTGCGCGCCTTCTGGCGCTCGCCCCCTCCTCCCCGTTCTGCGCCGGCGCGCTGCCCGCGGGGCGCATGCGCAGTGCGGGGACCGCCGCTCTGCCTCTGCCGTCGCCGCAGCCGCTGCTGTTGCCGCCTCCCTGCCGGCAAGTGTGTGAAGGAAAACCTGCGAGTCGCCGCCGCCGCTGCCGCCATGGGGGTGAGTGAGGCAGGGAGAGGAGACGGGAGGTCCAGGGGTGCTATTCGCTACCCTCGCCCCCTTCGCCCCCATTGTTCCTTAAACCCCCTTTCACGTGACCCCTAGCCCCCACATGACCTGACTCCCCCATCTCAGGGTGCCCATGCTCTGCCTAGCCAGGGAATCCCTTGGGGAGCACCCTTCTCTGGGGCTGCACCCCCTCGGTGCCCCCCGCCGCTCGCGTCGCGCCCGCCTCTTCCTGCCTCGCTGACCGGTTACCGGTCCCCAACCACCCCCCCGCGCGGCCCCCGAGGTTATCCCCCCGCCCCCTGCGCCACCCATCACCGGGCTGTCACCAGCTCCGCGGCTTTCCACAACCGAGGCCCACCCTGGCTTGGAGGGAACTGAAGGCCAGAGGAAAGAAGGCGCCCAGCCAAGGTCACACTGGCCTGACTGGGGCTCCAGACCCCACCCCGGGTCTCCCGGATCCCAGTCCGCTGCGCTTCCCGCTACTCGAGTTGCAGCAGAGCGGGTTCCCCTACACTCTTTGGAAACCTCTTCACCGGGTTCCTCCTGCTCCTGATGAAACACTCCTCCCTTCCCACAGAGGCCTGCCTTCACGGCCCGGTTGCGATGAAGTGGTTATGCTACTTGGGGGGTTAGTAGTCTTAGCAGTGCAGGTGGCCTTGCAGGCGCAGAGCTGTGCAAGTGAGCAGGGCAGATGAGGGGACCGCTGGTGATGGCCGCAGCTGCGCATGGATATTGACCACCTGTTCTCTGCCGGCAGCTTGGAGGCGCGTTTTAGTGCCCTTTCCTGGCATACCCGCTTAGGCAGAAGTTATTTGCGTGTTTCTGTGAGTTCACCTTGCTAAGTCCCAATTGGAATAGTATCAGTTACCATCCTAAAAAGACAACTGGCCCTCGGTGGTACTGCCTATATTAGTATTTACATGGAACGTCCACCACCTTTAGGGAACCCTGACTTTGGAGCCAGAGATACCTCGGTGCCGGCCCCATCTTTGCTGGCTAGCAGCATAATATTGTGCCCGTGATTTGGCCTTTCTGTCTTTGAATTTCCTCACCGTGGGGATGCTAATACCTGTCCCTTAGGGTAGTAGTGAAGATTAAATGAGATAATTGATGTAAATAGCCAAGGAGGTGCCTCATAAGTAGTGGCTGTTATTTTTGCCTGTATTCTCAGCCTTCACTTTAGTGATCTAAAATAGATTTGTGCTATTTTTAACCCATTGGGTTTGTCCCTACTGTTATTAACCTAGATTTTTTCCCTCACTCAAATATTTATTGACTGAACAAATCAACTTACTAGACAAAAATAATCTGTCTAATCTGTGTCAAAACAAACAGTCATCATTTTATTTTTATTTAGTTACTTAGGCAGTCAAATTTAGCAGCAGGGTGTTGAATAGTCATTATTTTAATAAGAAATTTTGGGTCCTGTGTACTTCATATATAGAAAACGAAGTATAGAGACCTTAGGCATATTTAACCCAGATTTTGGTGAAAAGGTCCCAGACCCTTGCTGTTGTTGAAACTAAATGAAACCTGTATGGCTTAGTAACTGTCTACCAGAATCAGCCAGTACAGACTGAACAGAAAACAAGAAGCATAACATGCCATTCTGGTTCAGCACTTCCTCATTGGGTGAGTTGAAGTAGCAGGCCCCAGAGATGCTATGATCCTTGCTTTTAGGGCCCGAATCTTATTACTCATACTTCACAGATGTGCTTCTCACAACAGCCCCTACCAAGTCTATTCTGGCATAAAATAGCAACAGAGAGACTTAAATTCTCCTCCCTGAAACAGCTGGAACCCTCTCGTCACCCTCACTGCTCATCAGTGGGAGCTGGGGATGCCCCACCTCGGTGTCAGGAAGTCATCATTCCTAGTGGTCACCCTCTGTCTCCATGCTCCATTTGACAGCATGACCTTGGGCTGAAAGAGCATGGCCTCAGATGGAGCACCTTATCTTCAAAGTTCTTTCACCCTAGCTGCCACACATGTCTAGTCTTTTAGGCATTAGAATTTAGATCTCTTGTTCCCTTCACCAAAAACAGAAGTTCTTTTCAGGTTCTGGCTACCATGTGGGTTGGAGTTACTGACACTGAAAATCTAAGAGATACCAAATTCCTTTTCTAGAAGGTGTCTCCTCCCCACCCCACGTGTTTTTTTGTTTTTTTTCGTTTTTCTTTGGGACCCCTAGCAGTCATGGAACTGCATGTGGAGTACTACTTTGATAGGAATAATAAGGGGAGGATTTTCACTGCCGCATATGAAAACATCTATATAGCACTTTATAACAAAAAGTGCCATATAAATGTAATTGCAATGTAGTAGAAGGAGCATGGACTTTAAGGTTCAAACCTGGATTTGAATCTTGGATGATTCATTCAACAGATATGAACTGAGTACCTGCTGAGTACTGGATACGCATTGGCAAATAAAGCAGACATAACCTGTGCCTCGTGGAATGTAGAGTCTGCTGGGAATGGAGGGAGAGTGTGGGAGGAAGACCTCTTTGAGAACCCTACTCACTGTCTCTGTGACCCTAAAAGTGAAACTCTCTGTGCCTCAGATTTCTCATCAAAGAAGTAGGCACATGTACCTTGCTAAGTTGTAAAGATTAGAATAGATCAACTTTGCTAAAGCACAAGCAGTGTCTTTGTAAACAGAAGTTGTTACTGTAAAGAATTTTTATATCCAGGACACTGTCATTTTGTCCTCAAAAGAGTGCTGTGATGTTGATGTAGGCATTGTTAGCCCTATTTTATGGATAAGGAAACTGAGGTTCAGAGAAATTGAGCAATTTGCTGAAAAGAGATTAAGTAACTTGCCTAAAGTCACACGGCTATTAAGTGGAAGAGCTAAGAATCAAATATCAAATCCAGGTCTCTTGACTCGAAATCCCATGTGCATGTCTGTCTATTTATCTATCTAGGGAAAGGCACCTAACCATAATGAGCTTACCATTCATTGTGCATATTTCCCATTTTAATTAGGAGCATTTTCTTATGTCCCTGCAGGACAGCCTTACCCCTGCAAGGCAAGAGCAAAGCTAATTGGAACAGTGGGAGACCACTTTTCCTAGTTTGGGGGTGAGCCTCTGCCTGTCTGGCCCAGTCTGCTGCAGCAGCCTCCCTCATGCCCTGGGGGTAGGCAGGGAAGCGCTTAAGGGGCTCTTTCCTTATCTCAGTCTCAGGCCATTGGCAGCCCCAGGCCCCACTCAGAGGATTGCCTGGTTTGCCAGTTCTGCATGAATGAGCCCATAGATCTCCTGGAGGCCCCGGGCAGGCCTTCCTGCTGCTTGTGCTTGGGAATTACTTCTCTTGCTTAGAAATGAGATTCTATGGAGGGAATCCAGGTTTCATTGCTTTCTGTGTCCTGGGCATTACACTTGCCTTCCAGCGCCTCTGATCCTTCAGCTCTGTTGTGGTAAGAGAGCGAGCATACTGGGTGGAGGAAGGGGGCATGCATCTGCTGTGAAGGTGTGGTAGCTTCTGACTGTCCTTATAGCTCTTCCGTGAGGCCAGTGGTTGTGTCCCCTTGGTCCTGGAGATGGAGTTGCTTTCACAAGTCATGCTGGCAGGAGGAGCATTGGCCCAGTCCAGTTAATGCCAAAGCTCATGATCCTTCTGCCCCACTGTGCAGCCCTGGAGACCTTCAATGTGAGGTTTCCCTTTTCCTCACCTCTGCCTTGGGGCGGGGATAGCACAGGGGGCCTGGGGTGGCACAGTTGGCAAACCCTTATCAAGCAAGATGGACAATGAGAAATGAGTTGCTAAGTGCCTGCCCGAGGGTTTCTGAGGTCCTAGGCCTTGTGTTGGCAGGCATGAGAAGGTCTTTGTTGATGACTGAGTGGAAGTCCACTATGCTGGAAGTAGCTCTCCCAGTGGGAGACAGCAGGGCTGGTGGAACAAACACTGGATCTGTGTGGCCTAACCCCTGGGATTGAGTCTTCCCTCTGCCACTTACTCTCTGGGGAACTCCGAGCGAGTCACATCATCCCTTCAAGCCTCAGTTTCCTCAGATATAAAGGGAGGTGATGGTTTCTGTCCTGAGAATTGACATGCATACTGTTTGTGAAAGTACTTTGCAAGCTTGGAGTATCTCAATGTTGTCTTGAAACCCAAATTCCCGGAGACAAAGATGGATGCTCTAAAACTTCTCCATGGCAGAGAGCGGGTGGTTCTGTCCTGGGATTCTAGCCTTATAGGGAAAGCTGTTTCTTCCTCTAGGGAGTTAAGAAATGGGATCTAGCCTGGCTCCCAGTGCAGTGCTCAGTTAGAAGATAGTTAATAGCTGGTGCTGGTAGAATTTGTACCTATAAGCAATCCCTGTGAATTCCTGGTATCTGAACTCTTACACCTCCTGGTTGCTTGAAGTGGGAGGTGAGCAATGGTATTCCTTGGAAAATCAAGGACAGAATTTATCCAGAGAAACTTTCCCAGTAGCTGGTTGTTCAACTCGGGTAGAATGTTAATCACTCTGAGTGCCCTTTCCTGGAGCCAGCCAGTGTCAGGGCTAGGGTGTAATTAGGGGTTGTCAAACCTCTCTCCAGAGAGCTCAGGGAAAGGGAGGGTGGGGGTCAGAAGAGGCTGTGCTGTTGGTAACAAGCAGAGCCAGCTAGCCAGGGCCTTTGGGTGTGTGGGTGCACCTCTGCATGCCTGTGCTCTCTGGTCCTCCTTGGGAGTAAGACTGAGAGCTGTCATTTATAGAGCACATGCCAGATTAACCCTCACAGGTTTGATACCTTCAAGGAGGTATTAAGCCTCGCTCAGCAGACACGGAAGGAGGCTCAGAGGTGGCTGTATCCTGTCCTAGGACTGCAGGAAGTGGAGAGCAGGAGAGGCTTTGGATGAGGTTTGTCAGACTCTAGAGCCTGGCTCTTTCCCTGTGTCACCCAGCTTTTTACCAGAGGGAGAGAGAGAGGTCCCATTAGGCCTGAGAGAACCCCACATCTCCTTCAAAACAGGATCTTATCTAGATGCAGCCATGGGCGATGTGCCGTTTGCCCCTCTGTGCAAGGAGAGCCTCCCTCTGCTGCTCCCCTGCTGCCTGTGTGCCCGCAACTTGGTCTTGCTGGCCATGTGTCAGTGTCACCTCTGTCCTGAGGTGAACCCCTTGGGGCTTTGCAGTCTGCTCTGCCCTTGTCACTAGGTTCATGGTGTGTCTGCCACTCATTGGCCTTGACTGAGCCGAGCTCTGTATCCTTAAGCCAGAGCACCATGGCCTCAGCCTGAAATGGGACCCAGCTCCCACAGGAACTGCCCCTGACCAGATTTTTATTTCCCGAAGCTGGAAGACCCTGAAAAAGCTTTAAATAAGCTTAGGATCCATCAGCAGCTACCTCATATGCTATCTCCTCTCTGAAAGCTGTCCTAAATGTGCCTAAAATTGGGTGTTCCCTCCTTAGGAGGGAGGTGAGTGAATGTTTACTGGGCACCTGCTGAGCGCCAGCTCTGCCGCAGGTGTTATCAGCTTTCTCACTGGGTCCCCATAGTGACCCGTGGTCAGGAGGGTCAGTACTCTTCCTGAAAGGAAGCTGAGAAGTCTAGTGACACTCCTGGGGACTCACCACTATGAAGCGGTGTTACCTGCCTGGGTCTTTCCCGCCCCGCAAGTGTGTGGCCTGTGGGTGCAGGGACCTTTTTGTTCCTCAGAGGGAAAGTCAAGTCTTTGGTTGGCTACAGCCCCCTATGTTGCTGTTCACTGTTGCAGAGAAAGTCGAGCAAAGCCAAGGAGAAGAAGCAGAAGCGGTTGGAGGAGCGAGCAGCCATGGATGCCGTTTGTGCCAAAGTGGATGCGGCCAACAGGGTGACTCTCCCCTCCTTCCCAGTCCCTGCCTCTTGGGATTTTAGCTTGGTTTTTAGTTCGGCTTCTCTTGGCGCCACCCCGTGGCAGCATTGCGATATACCTGCCCACTCGGCCTCTGCCTCCTGCAGGGCAGGGGAATGAGCCCCAGCACCTCTGACTGGGCTGTGAGAGTTGGGAGGTGTCAGCAGTTGGCCCAGGTGTTCAGGGAAATGTGGATCCCAATGGAAGTGGCTGCTTCTCTGTGGATCTCCTTTCTTATGGATAGAAGAGAGTCTGGAGAAATTTCTGTTAGGAGTTTGCATTCTAGGGAAGAAACTTCTTGATGAAATGTAGTATACACTTTTCTCATTGATGTCTTCAAACATTTCTTAACTGCACATGAGGCACTGAAGGCCGCGGGGGACTGAGGGGCTGCAGTGGCCTGGTCGTCCAGGGGCCGCAGTCAGGGCAGGAGTAGCTGTGGATCTGAGCACCAGGTGGACCAGGCTGGGAGCGGCCTGGTAGCCGTGGCTTTCCAACTGAAGTGAGAAATTCTGATCATCCTTCCTGCCCCCATTTCATGTCCCATTTGTTGGTCATTTTAGCCCACTCATAGTAAACACTCCACATTTAAAAGGATGTGGCTCAGGGATATGATTTTCCATTTGGGATTTTGGCCAGCTGAGGTCAGTTGGGGGCTGCTTCTCAGAAGTGTGAGAGCAGATCACGTGGCCTCTCCTTTGTGTTGGCTGTGCTGTGAGCAGGCATTATGCCCATGGGCCAGTAAAGTCTCCTCTTACCCTGTCAAATGACACTGAACTGAAGTCTCTTGACCTTCTTACCAAAGCCTTCCTCCTTACATGTGACTTCAGAGCTGAGGCAGATGGAGGGCTCTGTGAAGCTGCTCCTGGGGCCAGAGCTAACCTCCTAATGCGGGTCCCCACAGTGCCACACTCCCAGAAAACAGGGCTCAGGGCAGGGCCTGCACCTCCACCACACCTGTCTGTGCTATTCTCTTTTCTTTCCCTCCACAGCTTGGAGACCCTCTAGAGGCTTTCCCAGTGTTCAAGAAATATGATCGAAATGGGTGAGTCGTGTTTAGTGTTCCTAACTGTTGTCTCCTTGAATGTCTTCAGGAAATCACCTCTCCAGAGGAGGCTTCCTGAGACCCAAACTTTCTTGTTCTTCTTCATTATTATGAAAAAGCAGAAACTGTGGCTAGTGCCCTCTATTGATATAAAATCCCACTGTCAGGATGACAAAGGAATCTGTAAATGAGCAAAGATTGCACTTAATCTCAGATGTCTCTTTGGGAACTGTTCTCTCTGTACAAAGAATCATTGAGCTGAAATAAATTTGGAAAATTGTCTAGGCTGACACCTTCATTTTATACATGGGAAACTGAGGCTCAGAGAAGTCAAAGGAAGTTTCTGTGTTCGTAGAGTTTACCCCCACAGCTAAGGGGACTTTTAATTCCAATCCAGTGCTCTTGCCCTGAGTATATAGTATAATTGTTAAAAGTCACTTATTGGCTGTTTGACCCTGGACAAATTATTTAACCTCTCTGTTCCTCAATTTTCTAATCAGAAATGGGTCTAATAGTACTTTCCTCATGGAGTTGTCAGAAGGATAGGAGATAAAGTGTTAGTTCCTGGAGTTTACTAAAAGCTAGGTGTTAGCTGTTACTACTACTGATCCAGTTTACTGTAAGATCAGGATTAAAGGCCTCCTCCCCTTTTTTTGTCCTTTTGGTTTATAAAATAAGCATAATCTGTCTTACCTGAGATACTGTTCATGAGTCATGCTTCTATAATGCAACACCTTGGCTTACGGAAAAACAGGGCTTATGGTTTCTTAGAGGTGTGGTTTGAATTGTAGCTGGGCCTCTTATTAACTCTAGTTGGACAAGTCACTCATACTCCTCAGGCCTCATTTTCTTACCTGTCAAAGAGGATGATGCTGCTAAACTTGCAAAGTTTTTTTAAGGAGGGAAGAGAATATATCCAGCTCAGTATGAGTATTTTAATGAACAAAGTAGACAAATACAGATACTTGAATTATGAAGCAGGTAACTCTCCATTTGCCTTTCGTAGCTGCATCTGAATTTTGTAGCGTCACACTTATTGATTCTTCCTGTTTGATCAGATGCATTACGGTTCCTCTGGCGGCTTTGTCATTCAACTTCTGGGAAGTCCTTCGACGTAGTTTAGAGATCCTTTACTGTGATATCTCTTAGCGTTTCCATATTGCACATGCCTGCTGACTTCCAGAAATAAGGAATAGCTCTGAAGCAGGCATTGCCAGCCGACTCTGGGCTCCTTTTGTGCCTTGAATTTTGTGTGATCCTTGTGGCTATGATCCTACTTTCACATACTTAAATTAAAGGTCAATGTAGAATTTATACCTGCAGACAGACTTTGGACATTTTGTAGTTAAGACGGATGCAGTGCTGTGTCTGGCCAATTCCGTCTGCTGCCTGGTTGATACTTGCGAAGAAAGGAAGACTCTTTAGGGTTAGCGGAGCATGTATGCAGCCCATGTGATGTGCCGGTCAGCAGAGGTGATGGTGGATTCCAGTGGGAACATCCTCTGAGGGTTGTGTCAAAAGCCACTGAAAGATACTGATGTGGGAGCTCTTTAAAGGCTTAGAGTTTGCTTATTGCTATCCTTCCAGAATGTGGTAGTATCTAGAGAATGTCATCTCACTGCCCAAGGAGTTTAACTGTATTTTACTTAAATTTCATTTAGAAATGGATACCTTCATGCCTACGGCATTTGTTAGTCTAGGAAAATAGCATTGGGTTGGCTCCTGCTCTACCCTGTCTGATCAGCCAAGAATACCCGCTACAGAGGAAGAGGCAGGCGGGCCTCCTGGCAGGGTTGTTGAGCTGCAGTCGTCTTTTTTTTTTTGAGACAGAGTCTCCCTCAGTCACCCTGGCTAGAGTGCCGTGGCGTCAGCCTAGCTCACAGCAACCTCAAACTCCTGGGCTCAAGCGATCCTCCTGCCTCAGCCTCCCGAGTAGCTGGGACTACTGGTACCCGCCACCATGCCTGGCTAATTTTTTGTTTCTATTTTTAATTGCCCAGCTAATTTTTTCTATTTTTAGTAGAGATGGGGTCTTGCTCTTGCTCAGGCTGTTCTTGCACTCCTGACCTCAAGCAATCCTCCCTCCTCAGCCTCCCAGCGTGCTGGGATTACAGCGTGAGCCACTGGGCCCAGCTGAGCCATAGTCTTCTTGAAGGGCCTGAGGTCACCCAGCAATTTTGAAGGCAGAAGGAAGAGGTCAGGTGGGAGCCCAGTGAGATGTCAGTTCACAAATGAAAGCAACAGGAAAAATGCCAAAGGGCAGGAACTAAGTGGAAAAACAGTGTTTATAACAAAGTACAGAAGAGACCAACAGGGTAGGAAAAGAGCAAAGAGGTAGCAGGGAGGGACAAGAAGTTTACGGAGTGCTGTGGCTGGTAAGGATGGTGCAGGGAGGCAGGAAACAGGCCTTGTGGGTAGGATGGTGGGCTGGGTGGTGACAGGGGTTAATCTCGGCCTGAACGGCTCAGTTCCTGCATAGCCACCTTTCCCGGTCATGTTGGGGAAGGGGCAGGGTTGGTTTTTTGCCAGAAAGTGACTGAGACAAGGCTTGCCTCCCTGTTAGACTTTCAGGGAGGAACAGCAGTGCCCTGGTGGGAGCTCTGAACCGATAGCCAGCTCCTAACACCTCCTTTGTCCTCCTCTCAGGTTGAATGTCTCCATTGAATGTAAGCGGGTGTCTGGACTGGAGCCAGCCACTGTGGATTGGGCCTTCGACCTGACCAAAACAAATATGCAAACCATGTAAGCATGCCCTGACATTCCCCAGTTGGCTTTTCTCTTCCGCACTTCCCTGTCCTGACCACCCCCAAATTCCCCAGGTATGAGCAGAGCGAGTGGGGCTGGAAGGACCGAGAGAAACGAGAGGAAATGACAGATGACCGAGCCTGGTACCTCATTGCGTGGGAAAATAGTTCTGTCCCCGTTGCCTTTTCTCACTTCCGGTTTGACGTGGAGTGCGGGGATGAAGTCCTGTACTGGTAGGAGCCACCGCTTGGGTGGGGTGGTGCGGTAGGGAGACCCTGGTGATGCTCTGGGCACTCCCATCCAGGTGGCAAAGCCCACTGGGCCTGTCAGTCTGTGGGCTGCCAGGGGCTGCAAACTCCTCGAACAGACCTTGCAGCCTCTTCATGTCCCATCCTGTACGCTCACCTCTCTGCTTTTCTCACCCAGCTACGAAGTGCAGCTGGAAAGCAAGGTGCGGCGGAAAGGCCTGGGGAAGTTCCTCATACAGATCCTGCAGCTCATGGCCAATAGGTAAGGGCCCTGCGAGTCCTTCATTTGGAAGGAGCTGCCACTGAGGCATCCACTATCCTTCGAGCCTCCTTGGAGGACAAGGCTCAGGAATGTTTGGGGAGTAAGATGCTGTCAGTAGATGCTCCCTGCCTTGCTGTGACTGTGTTTGTACAGTCAGCTCAGCGTAGCAGGCATCTTTTGAGTGCCTGATGTGTGCCAAGTTCTGTACCTAAGGAATGGGGCTACAGAAAGGAAGTGAGAAAGATCCCCACTCTGGAAGAAGCCAGTCAGGTGGGGGCCCCAGACCTCTGGAGGCTAAAAGTGGGACTCAGGAACACTTCTCTTTCTTTTTTTTTAGAGACAGGGTCTTGTTCTGTCATCAGGCTTGGAGTGCAGTGGTGTGATCATAGCTCACTGCAGCCATGAACTTCTCGGCTCAAGTGATCCTCCTCCCTCAGCCTCCTGAGTAGCTGGGACTACAGGTGCATGCCACCACACCTGGCTAATTTCTTTTCTTTTTTTAATTTTTAGTAGAGATGGGTTCTTGTGTTGCCCAGGCTGGTCTTGAACTCCTAGCCTCAAGCGATCCTCTTGTCTTGGCCTCCCAAAGTGCTGGGATTATAGGTGTGAGCCACCATGCCCATCTGGGAACACTTCTTAGGGTGAAAGGAGGTAGCAGGCAGAGACAGGAGAGAGTAAGCATGGCTTTAGTCTCTGATTCTCTTTCTGAAAGATGCTTGCTCTACTTTCTTCTAGCACACAGATGAAGAAGGTTATGTTAACGGTATTTAAACACAATCATGGCGCCTACCAGTTCTTCAGAGAAGCGCTGCAGTAAGGAGCTGGGCCCTGGTGTGGTCCTTCTGGGTGGTAAGAGGTACCTGCCCAGTGCCGTTGTCCAGGTCCTGGCCCCCACTCATCCTGATGCTGAGCTCCCAGCCCAGTGGTCTGTGGGGGCTCAAGATTGGTGAGACGGTGTGGCAGTGCCCTCTGACTTGGTCCCCTGGCCTTCTCCTGTGCCCTCATCCTAGGGGCCTCATTAGTGTGGCTGGTGGAAAAGTTCTCAGGTCAGGGAGGAAGGCACTCAGCTGTCCCCAACCAACCCTTTTCTCCTGCCTGCCTTGCAGATTTGAAATCGATGACTCTTCCCCTAGCATGTCTGGTTGCTGTGGAGAGGATTGCTCCTATGAGATCCTGAGCCGGAGGACCAAGTTTGGGGACAGCCAGCACTCCCATGCAGGTGGACACTGTGGTGGCTGCTGCCACTGAACTCCCAGAGCTACTTGCAAGTCACAATGCTGTCTCCTAAGGCCTATCCTCTCCCTGGTCTCATGCCGCTTGCCAGGTGCCCTCAGAGCTGGTGCCTCCTCAGCCCGGCACGTGCCAGGCTGTACCCTGAAAGCACAGAACCCTGGGAAGGGGGTCCAAACTACACTTCCTCCTCTCTCCTAGAAGACCAGAGTGCCGGAGGAGTGGAGAGGGAAGAGCTGGCGGAGGCCCAGCCATAATGCTCGTCCCCACACAGTGGCTTCCTCTTTGTTTGGTTCCCCCACTTCTCTGCAGCTGGATTCTCAACAGCCCCCCGACATACACACTTGGACAAACATTCATGCCCACCTTTATGAAAGTCCTGGAGTCCTGGGTCTGAGGTCTGCTTGTCCCCAAAGAGAAACGGACCCAGTGTGAGATCTTGATGTAAAGAGAGGCTTCAGAGAGACTCAGGCTTTCGTGGATGGAACGCTCTGATGGAGGCTGTGGGAAGATCTTTTGTGCCAGGATACAAGGAAGCAAGCAAAGCTCTTTTTAGCTGTTTTTATGGATCCATGGAGTAGAGTTGTTTCGGGACCAGCCGACTCTGGGAGGAAGGCGGCCTCTCTCTCCATTGCTGTCAGTGAGAGAGAGGCTGAGAGGACCAGGAACAAGGTGCCGTGCGGGGGCCTGCCGTGGGCACAATGGCTTCTCGGGGCTCCTGGATTTTGCTGCATTCTAAGCTTAACCTCTTGATCTCACGGCAGTGACTTGAGCTTTTCATCCGTAGAAGAAAGCCAGAGGTTCTGCTTGTTCCTCTCTGTTGCCCCTCACCGCTCTTTTTCCCCTGCCTCTCGCCTGTACCCTAGATACCTCTGTTCTTAGTCTTAAGGGGGGAATAACATCAGGGAGCCCCTCGTCTTCCCCCAGAAGGACCCTCGTTCCTGGTGTAGTTAACGCTATTTCCTCTCATCTCTTGGTGCTGATAGTTCTCTGAAGGTGGGGCATCCCTCCCCACTGCCACCCTCCCTCTTCAGAGAGCCCCCAGCCAGCAGCAGGCCCCTCTGCCTGCACTCCCCAGCCTCGCCCCTCGCTGCCTCAGTGAGGCACTAGTGCCACTGCCTGGCCCAGGCGAGCCATAGCTCAGGCTGCAACAGGAATGCCTCTCAGTGGCCAAAACAGCTGCTTTTCTGTCTCTGGTGTCACTCTGTGGCAGCAGGCTGGAGCAGGGGGAGGAGAAGGCCTTCCTCCTCTCTCAAGGGATAGGATGCAGGCTCAGAACCTATAGTCATCCTCATCTCTAGGCCTTGTTCCTGTTTCAGGGAAGACAAACCAAATCCTTATCAAGGAAAAAGCACCTAACACCTCCCCTTGGACATCCCTGAGCTCTGCTTTAGGGAGTATCATGAAGGTTCTAGCCTTTGTGAAGTTGCTCTCATGGAAGTCTGTCAGTCCCTCTGACCTCAGTGTCTGCTCACATCCTGCCCTCTGCCCAGTTCATGCAGTCTGTCCTGGCAGATCTCCCCAGAGTGGTCCTTGCCTCTCACCTGGATTCCTGCTCGCGCAGGGGTCTGTGCGTGCTGGGCCTCCCTTGCCCAGCCTGGCCCTCTGCTGAGCACTCTGCGCTGCTCTTGACCTCACCAGCAGTGGGGCCGGGTACTCCTTGGAGAGGGCCTCGCAGCTTTACACTGGAATGTCTGCCTTTGCCCTACCCTGCTGTCTCCCAGGGGGTTTCACCCCAGGTGAGAGTTGAACTTGCTGGGAGGGGATTGGTAGACTCTCCTAAGAATCATGAAACGACAGAAGCATGTTTAGCAAGAGGTTTTCCTCTGATCCCTATCTCTCAAAGGATGCAGAATGATAAATATTTATTGTCTTAGATCATGGATTTCTGATACCTCCCACTTAAGGGGACCAAGAGGAACCTCCAGTGTAAATCCCATGTAAGGTGAGTTCAGTGTATGTTTTCTCTTTCCGGTGACTGGACACCTGGCACCAAGCCTATTGGTAGACAGGCGCTTGGTGCGTGCCCTGCTCACCCCAGCCTCTGCAGGCCACACCCCCAAGAGCTGCTCAGGAGGTCTGGGCTGGGGCAGGAGAGGTGTCTGAGACCAGCAGATCACTTTGTTGTTGGTGTCGAGCCTGTTAATCTCTAAAACACCAATCTTTCTCCACTTGTCCTAGGTCTTGGTTTTGAGAAACACAACAGGCCTTTTGTACTAGCCTTTTTGTTTGTTGTTTTTTGTTTGGGGCATGTTAAGATATTTTGTAAGATTTTAAAAATTTTAGTTGTATTCATCCTATTTCAGGTTATTTTTGTTGGCGTCAAATGTGTATAGGACATGTGTATGGTTCTTTTTAACCTTTTCTCGTCTTTTTAGAGGGAACTTCAAATATAAACTCCTTCTTGATATATGTATTTTTTTCTTTAGCAATTTGTTATCACTGGAATCAAAGGGAAAAAGCGATCTCTTTTTGCATTGGTTGTATTTGTATGTCACAAATAAAAGACACTTTGTTCAGCCTAGGATGGCTTCCTGACGCGGGGGGGGCCATGGGCAGCGTGGGCTCAGGAATCCCCAGACCCTGAGACTGTGCCGGTATTGGGCGCAAACCCTGGGAGGCACATAGCTGTGATGGCCCCAAGCCTCGTCCAGGGAAGAAGCCTCGGGCCTGAGAAAAGCTCAGTGTTTCCAAGGCAAGCAGCCAGAGGTGGGAACAGCAACCAAATGTATGTGTTTGTGCCATTCCCCAGAAGTTCTGGGTGGAGGTCAGAGGTGTTCTGACGGGTGCCTGCTTCACATCCTGGAGAGTCCCAAGCTGGGCACTGTGACATTTGACATCTGTGGCCAAACATAAATTCCAGTGCTCGTGTGTGGGAGTTGAATAGATGAGAGTTTCTTTCCCCTCTCACTTTATTGAGTTACTCAGAATATTCTTCTGTTTCTTAAAAGGACTCCTCCCCTCTTCCCTCCACTCACAAAATAGAATACAAAGGCTCCAGGGAAGGGGAGCCCCTATCAGGTCGGACAGGGCAGGAAAGTTAAGAGCTGGGGGAGGCTCGACTCTCCTAGTGTGACAGATGGAGCTATGCAGCCTGTCCCCCAGGCAAGGCTCCTGCCAGTCCCCAGTCCACGGGGAGCTGGGAGGAAAGACAGGAAGTGGCCAGGGGGCTAGAGCTCAGAAGCATTTCCTGTGGACAGTGGAGGGGCCACCTTTGCTGCTCGGTGATCCACGTCTGCTAGAAGGTGGAGAGGGAGCCCCCGGTCCACACGGAGTGTGTGTTCAGGCAGAGCAATGATCTGGGGAAGCAGGGGTGGGTCCCAGCTACAGCAGGTTGTGGCCTGTGCCCAGTGGGAGGGTCTTACCTTTGAGGCCCAAAGAAAGATATCACAGCCCTTGGGAAGGAAGAGAGCAATTTGCTGGGCTAATCACACGACAAATTTCTCATGTGACAAAAATTTGCCCCTCAAGTTCTTTGTTCCTTTGTTCCTTGAAGGCTATGTTAACTGTAGGCAGAGATTTCTTGGAATGGCCACCCCCTTGCTGAAGGGTAAATGGCCACAGTCGGCAGGGTGTGGGGCCCTGCCTTCATCACTGCTGGCTGAGTGCTAGGAGGGCTGAGGTCTGCACCCACCTCTGCCACCTTCCTGAGTGGCCAGGGCCCCTCGGGGTCCCTTGCAGTGGCTGTCTGCGGTGACTCCAGGGGGCTGCCTCGACCCCTGCCTCCAGCTGCACGCAAGCTTCCTTGCTCAGGTGGTACTTGCTGACCCGGCACACCGTCGCCGAGCAGATGGAGCCAGAGGCGCAGCCTGGTCTTCTCTCAGGGCTGGAGCTGGTTTGAAAAGGACTGGATTTCCCCAGGGGGAGGGACATTGGTCGCCAGGTGGTTTCTGCTGCCAGGCTTTGAAGGTAGTTCAAATTAGGGGGCAGGTTTTCCTAGTTTTTGCTAGAACAGTCCCTCCCCAAGTGCGACAGAGGCTGTCCCGTGCCCCGGAGTGCAGGCTGGGGCAGAGGGGAAGGTGGAGCTGCGGACCCTGGTAGACCACAGCTGCTGCAGTCGCAGCGTTGCTTGGCTCCGAGGGGGAAGGAAACATTTGCTGAGCCCTGCCCGCTAGTGACGGCTCATGCTTAGTGCTTACCGTGCCGCGCACTGTGGAGTGTTTCACTCATATTCTCTCATTTAGTCCTTACAACCCTATTCCATGGGCGGTGGCATTACTCTCAATTGAAATTGAGCCGGATGCGGTTGCGCACGCACCTGTAGTCCCATCTATTAATACTCTGGAGGCTGAGGTGGGGGATCGCTTGAGCCCAGGTACTTGGGGCTGCAGTGAGCTGTGATCATGCCACTGCACTTCAGCCTGGGCAACAGAGCAAGACCCCATCTCTTTAAAAAAAAAAAAAGAAATTGAGAGTCCTGGAGTGAAAAAACTCCAAAGTCCTGCCCTCCTCCACAGAGGCTGTGAAGCCCGATTTCTCCTTCCTGAGGAAGAGCCGTCTGCCCCAGAGGCCCCACCTCCCTGCCCCCTTGCTTTTCATGGTGCTGGGGCCAGGGCAATGACGTCCAGCCTGCAATGCCAGGGTGTGCGATGGTGCCCGGACAGGGTGGTGGTGGTTTCTGTGAAGTCCAACTACATTTCTGAATTCTGCCCATGCCGAAGTGAACGAGGTGAACCCGAAAGGCTGTACTGGGGCTTTAGCAATCTCTGCAGTGGTGTCTTAATTACATAAAGATGAGCATTTGCTATAGGATGACGGGAAGGGCTGCCCCTGCTGGGGCTGAGGTCACACCGCGTGGCCCCGGTGCTTTGTGCAGGCCAACTCAAAGTCGGAGAGAAGAGGCACTGAGGAATGGGACCAGGTGAAGAAGGGCCAGGAGCCTCCAAGGGGTGGGGGCTGTTTAATTTGGGGAGGGTGCAGGAGTCCGGAGCAGAGTTGGTGCTAGCTGCGGCTGCCCTGGGGGTTGGGTCCAGCTCTCCCGGCTGTGGACTAACAGGGTTGTGGTACCAGGCCCTGTTCCTCTGTGGGGTCCTGCTCTGGCACAGGAGGGTGTTGTTGCAAAGAGTGGGGCCACGGGGGTGACTTACACACCGGGGGCCCTCTTTGGCCTCCCCAACCCAGTCAGTAGTGGTGACAAAGGCGTAGCCAAGCTCACTGAAGATCTTCATGAGGTAGTGAGGTCTCAACCCGCCTGGTGCAGGCCTGGATGGCATGGGGCAGCACGTAGCCCTTGTACTTGGGCATGTTGTGAGTGTTGCTGTCCCTTGTGACTAGCATGATGCCTGGCAGATGGGCTACACAGGGGCTTTAGACTTGGGAGTTGTGGGGGAGCACTCCTGTGGTTGCCTTGTGTCCTGAGTGTTGGATACAAGGGGTGGGGAAAGGTGGGGTATGAGGCTGGAAGGGCATAGGGCCCCAGGTGCTTGCTTGCAGGGTGTTGGGGCCCTCTGAGGGTCCTGGCAGTGAGAAGGGTATCAGGGAACAATGAAAAGGAGAAAGGACCCATCCTAGGCTGGTCAGTAGTCCAGAGGTGGAGAGAGGTCCCCAGGGATTGGAGGTGTGCGTCCAGGCTGGGGGCTCAGAAGGCAGAGGAATCTGGATGTGCGGTCACAGGATGGCAGGGTGAGGCTAGGGCCTGGACCACGATGGTGGGAAAGATGGCCTTGGTGTGTGGTTGCTGGCAAAGCCAACCTTCACCAAGCTGGAGCCACTGTCCCACAGAAGTGTGGTTATGTCTTCATCACACATGGCCGCTGGCTGTGGGCTGCATTCCGGAAGGGGTTAACCACCACCCGGCTCCTGGTGGGCGTCCCCAGCCTCAGCCCCCACCATTCCTTCCCGCAACTGCCAGTCCTCAGGGACGCCTGGGCCAGGACAGCTGTACCTGCCCCGCCCCCTGCACCAACAGCCCCCCTCATGTCGCTCCACCCCTGACAGCTGTGACTGAGCCTGCCCCCTGGACAGCTGTGGCCCAGGAAGAGCAAACACCCCTTCAAGACCCTGCATCTCTCCCTGCCCCCTCTCTGCCCTGACCATGGCCTGCTTAGGTTGCCCAAACCAGCCCTTTTCTTCCTGTGAGGCTGGCCCCTCCCTTTTTCTTCTGGCAGACTTTTTTTTTCTTTTTTTGAGACAGAGTCTCGCTTTGTTGCCCGGACTAGAGTGAGTGCCATGGCGTCAGCCTAGCTCACAGCAACCTCAAATTCCTGGGCTCAAGCAATCCTTCTGCCTCAGCCTCCTGAGTAGCTGGGACTACAGGCATGTGCCACCACGCCCGGCTAATTTTTTTTTTCCTATATATTTTTAGTTGTCCAGATCATTTCCTTCTATTTTTCAGTAGGGACGGGGTCTCGCTCTTGCTCAGGCTGGTCTCTGAACTCCTGACCTTGAGCGATCCACCCGCCTCGGCCTCCCAGAGTGCTAGGATTACAGGCGTGAGCCACAGCGCCCGGCCCTGGCAGAC